ATTTGAAAAACAATTCATGCAATTTTCATACTTATTATTCCATCATTAGTGAATTTTAATTTCATTCATATGCTAGCGGTATTAAAGAATATAATTCTGTTTAAAAATCGTGCCTTTGAATTATCATAATGTAAATAAATAAATATTGCATTAAATCGTAAAGGTAATTTGAATATACAAACAGGTACTTAAAATTGTTTTGTCCATCATTTGTTTATTGATTTAAGTATGATGAAGGAAACATTATGTAATATTTTTTTACAATAAAATACATTCCTCAAAGTATTTATATTATTTTAATGTATTGAGCAGCAGAGATAAAAAAAGTTTCTGTAATTCTCACAATGAATTTTTAAAAATCTTTCTTAATTCTGTTAAATTGAAATCCATACCTGTATGCCTATCCATAAATTCTCAGCTAGTGATACCTATTATTGTATATTCCCTGGCAACAGTATGTCCCATCAATATAGTAGGTTTACTACCACGAACACTGTAACTCTTTATACCTACATGAGTAGACATAATGCTTATTAATGTTAAAGAAACGTGTATAATTAAACAATGAGTATTCAAAAATATGCTGCAATTCAATGCCTCCAAACTCTTGAAGGGCTAAAATGTTCATTGCCGTTAACCAAGAGCAGGTGTTCAAAATAATAAGAATAAAGCAAATATTAAATTGTAAATACAGTGTTATCTTTTTCTGCAATTCATTGAACAAGGTTTTAGTGCAAGTGGACAAATATGCTTCTTTTTGTAACTATCTAAAAAATATGAATTTATTAATGCCTTTTAATTCGGTTCGTTGAACGAACGAAAATATTTGAATTTGTACAACAGTGATGACAATTTTATCACACTATACTGAACAATATAAAAGATTAAATTTTATCGCCTAATATTGGTCTCTCGAGGTTTTCGTGATTAGAAAGGGGAATGGAAATAATATTCAGGACGAGAATTCGATAGGAGAATGTTCAGGAACGTTCGGTTGAGATCAGCTTCCGGTTCGGAAGTGATAAAAGAACGAGCGACACGTCCATGGTATCAGTCAATTATAAAATGCCGAATGCCGAGGTAACCGCGTCCATTTGAAATTAAAAAAAATCCTTACAATTATGAATAAAAATGTTCTCATTACTAAATTTTGATCATAGATCAACCGTAGATAATACATTTTTTATCAAATTTTTTTCATTTTCATATATATTATTTTTCAGGATAAGCGAATATTTGCATAATCTTCTATTTTGAATCCAAATCCTTTTAATGAACTTTTTTCTCAGACGAATATAAATAAGATCATCAAAAACGAGCGGTAAATTTTGAAACTATATAAAGTATGGCCATAGACTTAAGATACGTACAGAAGTTGCAACTTATGGGAATTTTTGTCTAGGGCTTCGGGGGTCTTAAAACCCTCGTACCATTTCAGTGTTGCATTCGATGTTACCGATAATACAAAATTTTAGGCTTGTTAGCAGGAATTGAATTGTCTGTACACTTCATTTTTGCTACGAGTCATATGATTTAGCGGCAACAAATATATAGGGCGTGTACATTTAAACGATAGAAGTAGTATTTATTCAATAGAAACATAAATATCTTTATGACTACATTAGTATATAAATAACAGCTATAAAATTTCTAACAAAATTGTTAAGCACTCAGGATTAAAATGTATAACACACTTTTAGGCATTATTTTGAACTTAGGTATAATGATTTTGCTCAAGTGTGTGCAAATAAATACTAATAAATAAATGAAAAACGTGTTCTTTTATTTTTCGTCTCAATATTGTATTTTTCTGTACTATACTAATTAAAACTACGGTACTAATAATACAAAATTGCTTCATATTTACCGATTCTTATTTTTTTCACTGAATATCTATGCATTACGTTAATGTAAAATCAAGTAATGTTTATTTATAAATGATTGAACAAATATATGTGTACGTAATTATTTAATGGAATAATTAATGACTCGTATTTTCACTTCGTATTTAGTATTTGAATTTTGACAATCTTAAGAGGCATTCCGCCGATTGAGGAAGCGAATCGTTTGAACGATTTCATTACCCGCTTCGATGAATTTTGTACAAACCTAACTCTTCAGGTTAATATGATAAAAATGTAATTTTTAGAGCTGGCAACATTGTAAAAATTAGTCTCCCAAATAGACACTTCTCAAGTTGCAGTCTTATGTAGTTCAGTAGTTGACTGTTCGATTCAAATAGAGTTCGCTAGTGTATGGGGGAATTTTTGACGGTGTCGGTATTTCAGAACAATAGGGAGGAAAATACATTTTATGCACAGTCTGTAGATAGATACTTAGATCTGTGCTATGACTCATAGATCACTATGTAAGTATACAGTCTAAACAAATTATGAAAATTGGTTTAGCAGAAAATGATTGAATAAACAAATTATATTAATTCAATTTTTATTCAAATTGTATTTATTTGGAGGTCATGTTTTTCAATAATACTATCGAGGTAGTTACCTAATAATTTTTTCGAAAATAACATTTCTTATGTAGTACTTTATAATAATAGTGTAGAATCACAGATCGGTGGTATAAATAAATATTTCAAATAATTTCGATCTCATATTAACATAATTGATATTCCATTGAAAAATTGTAATTGTTAAAAAAACATGAGTACTAACTAAAGGAAACCTTAATAATTGATGTACAGTTGTATCTACAGAAATACCGCCATCATGATCGAACAAATGTCTATCTTTCTCTACCTTTCTATGCTCTAACAAAGTTGTCCAACGTTGCATTTGTGATTGATTTTTTTGTTTCAATCGTTATAGACGTTTTATCGCATTATTAAAGATTAAAACATCACGTATGGATGTGAGTTAATACGGTACAGTAACTATAAAATTTGTGACAGGTGGTTTGACGTTTATTCGCCGCCATCATTATTAACGACAGTGACCTGCCATATTGCGCGTGATATAAAGAACTGTAATACATTTACTTAGTACGATTATTTGTTGTACATTTGATATAAGTGCCTATTGTTTATGTAGCAACAATAGTTTTAAAAAAACCCCACAACTCAGTTGCAAGATAATATTTCATAGTAGCCAGCTGTAAAACGGTGAGTGGAAGCTGCATTGTTGACATCAGAAACGTTTTTTTATTGAACAGTTGTCATTAGAAAATTAGGTTGTGAACGATTATATTTACGTGTTTTTGTCTAATATTATCATATTAATTTCTGTTACAATTCCTCGTTACCGTAATATAAATGCATGACAGTAAAATGAAAACCTCGTATACTTTTGCTACTTCGTTAATAATGTTCCCTTTAGAAATATAAAGTTTGTCTAATTCTATACATTCTTCTGCATTGTTTTTCTGCATTTTATTTTGCTGTTCTGCACATGCTTCTATAAAACAGGATAATTTATAAAAGTAATTACATTGATTACAATTGCAATTTTATGTAGACAGTTTTACAGTAAGTACACCTACTGAGTTTGCAAAAAGTTCGTAGAATTCATAAATGATATAAAATTTCGATAAAATTTTATTGCAAAATATCCACTTTGTTTTATGTAATATTGTATGAGGCATGAAAATTAATTACATATTATAGCATTGGAAATTATACTCTCATTTCATAGGATCATGCTGTAAAATTGCTATTGTCTAATGTTTTTAAGAAATTGATCAAATATTATTATAAATGTCAAATTGATAACTATATCTTCACATAACCTAGTAGATATCATGTCGTAAATTTTAGATAAAAATTTAAAGATATCTATGTATAAAATAATACAATAGTATTAAGAATTATTTTTTTACAGGCACAAAATGTCAACTGGTCCTTATAATTATTCTTACATCTTTAAATACATCATTATAGGAGATATGGGAGTAGGGAAATCATGTTTATTACATCAGTTTACAGAAAAAAAATGTAAGTTGTTATATTAAGTGAATTAGATGCAGAGTTCATCCTTAGAAATAAACATTTATTTCTGAGTTGTATTTCAATTTGTTAATCAGAAGAGAAAATATAACATGTACATTACATATATATTAAACCGTTTAAATATAATTTTAATAATGAATCAAATGTATATGTTATATATTTTACTTCACATTTTATTTTCATATGAAAAAAATAATATTCTTTAATATTCTTGTTAAGAACTCATTTAGTAACTTAAAATTATTATTTGTAGCAGTTGATTGAATAACAAATTTATTATTATTCTTTTGCATTTTATTTAGTTATATCTATCTACATGTTGATTCACTTTGCATAGTGTGACCAAAGTTAATCTAATTTAATCTAAAAATTTATTGTTTTATTTATCTGTTATGACTATTGCATTATTATGTATAAGCATTCATTGTTAAATAATATGAACACTCGTACTACATTTTAGTTATGGCAGATTGCCCACACACTATTGGTGTTGAGTTTGGAACAAGAATCATTGAAGTAGCAGGGCAGAAAATAAAATTACAAATATGGGACACTGCTGGGCAAGAACGTTTTCGGGCAGTTACAAGGTATGAGTATTTACTCTTAGTCCCTAAATACTATAATAAGTAAACTAATCATAAAATAAAAATATATACGAGTATAATTTGTAGATCTTATTATCGGGGTGCAGCTGGAGCATTAATGGTCTATGATATTACTCGTCGTTCAACTTACAATCACCTTAGCAGCTGGCTTACAGATACAAGAAATTTAACGAATCCAAGCACTGTATGCAAAATATGATATTTTACATAATGGTATTTATGTCTGTAAAGTGTAACTATAATCGATGCACAAACATTGAATGATGTATTCTTTATATTCTTTAAATAATTTACTTTCATTATATAGGTAATAGAGGATTTTACATTCTATACTTGCAGGTTATATTTTTGATCGGTAACAAAAGTGATTTGGAAGGTCAGAGGGATGTTACTTATGAAGAAGCAAAGCAATTTGCAGATGAAAATGGTCTCATGTTTGTTGAGGCCAGTGCAAAAACGTAAGTTATTGGTTAAATTTATATTGAATTTTTATTATAAGTTAAATAAAACATGAATTACGTGAAATCGATGAAGAATATTAAATATTAATTATAATTAATAATTGATACAACCTGATGTTCTGCATAGGTATTTTTTTTATTAATATAATTTATTTTCTTTATTAGAGGACATAATGTTGAAGAAGCCTTTCTGGAAACAGCAAAAAAAATATTCCAAAGTATACAAGATGGACGGTGTGTATATGTTCTTATCATATTTTCTATGTAATAACATATTAGTGCTGTTGTCCACTATTTTATGTAAATTTCAATTTAACAATTTGTTATTTACAGTTTGGACTTGAATGCAGCAGAATCAGGAGTTCAACACAATCCCAGTCAACCAGGTCGTAGCAATCTTCAAGGAGTATCTAATGAACAACAGGGTGGGAAAGATTCTTGCTCCTGTTAGGTCTTTATTTGTTTGTATATAGATATCTGAAATCATCGGTACTATTAATGCATATATGATTTATACTAAGTATAGCAAGCAAATAGTCTCTGACCTTTACCCCTTAACCTTTGATAAGTCAAATCTACTTAATGAACATTAAATCTTTTCTAGTTATAATTCATTTACAAAAATATATAATATGAGTATAAAGCTCAGTATAAACATATACGTGTAAATTGTATTTGAAAACCGATTCTGGATTTTGCTTTTTCAATGTTACAGCTTTTATATGATTGTTGTGATTTGCATATATTTCCTATAGGTCATATAATTTATTGCATAATGAAATTAAATGCTAGGTAATATGTTGCACTTGCTGACATTATGGTACACGTGTACAAGGTGCATTGTACGAAACATTTACTTAATCACGAAAATATGGAAATATGATAAACATGAATGTGACACACTTGAATAAGATAAATATTTACCATTGTAAAGTACATTTATGTAACAAGATTGAGTATATCTGAACGTGTTTGTTATCTAATTTACAGTTTGGAAGCTGTACTATAAGCTTAGATACAAAAGATTGTTGATAACATATCTACACTTCTAAGTAGCATAAAAAGTTGTCATAAAATGGCATAGTGAAACAAATTTAGTGTCATTTGTATTATTTCATAACTACAGTCCTGCTTTTATGTCATGTAAACCTTTCAAAAAGAACTTACAGTTTTTGTTCTCAGCTTTAAAAATGTTTTGTTTTCAAAAAAAATTTTAATTTCATTAATTAAGTGTATTGTATTTCAAAATTAGCGAAAAAAACTTAGATCGATTTCTTCACGACAGTTGTTTTCGTATTTTGTTTTATTAAAACTAAGAATAAGTAAAATGGACATTTTTTCAACGATACAATAGCTATATTCGTATTCTAGTTAAAGTGAGTACTCTTAGGTAAATTTGGGAACAACAGTTTGGGACAAGTGGGAATGGAAAGTGAAAATCATTTTGTGTAGAAAGAAAAGAACGACATTATGTGTTATATGAGTAACTATGCACTGTAGTTTAAAAAATGCTGTGTATACACGAATTTCGTTTTTGGAACCATTGTTTGAGCAGGCATGGTGTTCATCTCAAGGCATGTTAAGTATATGTATGTATATATATGTATGTCCATACATATATATAAGTACATATACAGACAATCTACATGGTAGTAGATTGTTATTAGATATAGAAGTCAAGCATCTATCGGAAGGACATTTTATGTTATTATTACCACTGTTTCAAAATCGAAATTATTAATACTGATAATGAGACATGTTTCAATATGGTAGTGTATTATTTGGAGTTTATGTTCAATATTATAAAACTACTTAATTCATTTATTATTAATTATTTTTCCTTAATTAAGAGAAGTATTAACGGATAGATTTATTATAACTAATTGACATTTTTAAGGATTAATTAATGAAAACAGGAATTAAAAAAATGAAAACTTACTATCTCAGTAAATGGTTTTAATAAGGAAAGCAAAATATTACATTTGCGATCAGCTTTGTTGAAAATTTGATTTCATTGAATTTTATTCAATAGCACTAGTTGTAAATATATGAAGATACACAGTTTAAACGTAAATTTTTTCTACATTATAATCTTCCAAACAAAATAAAATAATAAGAAATTTT